AGATGAGAGACCGACTGAGCGTTTTGCTGTGGCCTGCACGTCAGTTTTATCTCAGTGACCAGTGGGGAAGGACACAGTGTTGGATGTTGTTGAAGTTTTCTTTTTTTTTTCCTTCGAAAACGGAGTAAAAAGACTAACGTTTGTTTGTTGAAGGGAACAGATTTCTCACAGGACGGAGTTATTGATTCCATATTGCTGTTTGAATTTCTTTAACTCAGTGGAATGCAGAAGACTAAGTTTCGCATCTTTTGTTGAAGACAAGAGGCTACAAGTAGCAAAGTGCGCGTATTATGAACAAACTGAAAGCCCCGAGTCAAAGTATCCTGAAGTAAATAATCATTTACATGTCATATGCTGCCACCGCTAGAAACAAAAGTTATTTTAGGTCAAAAAGTAAAGCCATTGTTGCCCCTACCATTTCGAGAAACAGAATTGTCTATTTTGTTGTAATGTTTTTCACATAGAGAAAAATCTATAGCGGCGAGTACGAGGTAACTTGGTCGCTTTTAAGCACAAGAGGGCTGTCCCGAAAAATGTTGTTTTGAGAAAATCGAAGGTAAAGTTTTTGGGCCCTTGTTCATTTTCTTTAAAAGACAAGGAGAGTTTTCTCTATAAACAAACAAATATACACACCAATGAAACCAAACTTCTCCTTTAGGTAGGGCAATACCCATTTTTGGTGTAGGTCAAGATTTTTGGAAAATCCTGAAATCTGGATTAGCCCGCTGGTCCTTAAAAGCGACCAATTAGCAAATTATATCAACTTGAGAGCAAAAGCAAAAAACGCACATACATTTTAATGTTCAATTATTCTGCAAGAGAATTACTGTTGTGCTCGTGAAAAAAAATCAGTGGAAAACTAGTTGAACTCGGAATTCTACCATTTTGATGTGGTACGGATTTTGAAAAAAAAGTAAAGTAACATTTTTTAATGTGGTACGGATTTAGAGAAAAAGTAAAGTAACATTTTTTATGTGGTAAGGATTTCGAAAAAAAAGTAAAGTAACATTTCTTATGTGGTACAGATTTAGAAAAATAATAAAGTAACATTTTTTGATGTGGTACGGATTTAGAAAAAAAAGTAAAGTAACATTTTTTACTCGTGATCCATTGATGGATTAGTGTGCTCAGTTGGGACGGAAAAGAAGGACGGAATTTTCACCGTCTCCAGTCCACTGATGTCTGTTGTGAAAGAGATGTTAACTTACGGTCGTCGGTCACACACTGCATTGCCCTCGGCAATTTCTGTATGAACACACCAATCTAGATTTCTGGATCTTCAAACCCGAACTAAATAATAAAAATATCAATTGTAGAAGTTGGGATTCGAAAAGAAACCCCCAAATAGCGAGCTGAACCCCTTTGTTGGGTATCCGGATACCGCCAGTATGACCATCTCTAGGCATCCTTCTCTCTTGAACCGAAGCTCCTCATTCGGGTCCAGAGTGCAGTCTTACAGCAGAATCGGATCAACTAGAGGATACAATTCGGTTCCAAGATTCGCTTCCTCTGAAGGATTTGGCTCCTCGGGTGGATTCAGTTCGGTTGACAGAGCCGGAGCGGGGAATGCCTTTGGATCAGTCAGCGATCTCCGGTCGGGGGAGAGATTCGGATCTGCTGGTAGTCATGGATTGTCTGACGGATTCAGATCCGGTACCGGATTCTGTTCCTCCGGAGAACTGGGTTCGAGCGGCTTGCTGCCGTATAACGAGCACGTTGATTACCAACACTCATACAAAAAGTCACAACAGATGAGGCATGTCTCTTTCATTGATTATGAGGTAGGATCACGTGACCTGCATTGAGATCTCCTAGGGTGCTGCATGTTTTGTAACGACCAAGACAAATACCTCCCTGGGAGATGAATAAAGATTGTCGTTGTCATTGTCAATGTATTATACAGACGCGTGTCTTATGGCTGTGGTATTGATAATAAATATTTAAGTTAACAGAGAAATCGAAAGATCGATAAATCATTAGATAAAGAGAGAGGGACAGAGACAGACAGACAGACAGACAGACAGACAGACAGACAGACAGACAGACAGACAGACAGACAAACAGACAAGGACAGAGACAGGCAGACAGAGCTAGACAGAAAGAAAGAGAGATAAAGCCGAGAGAGAATTCAGCGTAATAATAGGGACACACACACACACACACACACACACACACACACACACACACACACACACACACACACACACACACCCACCCGCACACACAGATAGAGAGAGAGAGAGAGAGAGAGATAGAGAGAGAGAGAGAGAGAGAGAGAGAGAGAGAAGAGAGAGAGAGGTGTTAGTAGAGAGTAGCATACACAAAAAAGAGGAAGGGTAGAAAAGGGCGATGGGGGTTTAATGGGACAGAAGGAACAAACTACACCAGGGCACCCGCCAACAATCTTTGTCTTTGAGCACTCAATCCTGATTCTTTCAAATGTCAGCTGAAGTCGTTTCTGTTGTTAAATTAATAAGATGAATATTTGGATTAATTTTCTTTTAGTCAGAACGCAACTTTTTATGTTACTGTTGTATGTTGTACTGTATTATAAAGCGCTCAGAGCCTGTGTACTTTAACCGAGTTTGAGCGCTATATACATGTCATTTATTATTATTATTGTTATTATTATTATTATTATTATTATTATTATTATTATTATTATTATTATTATTATTATTATTATTATTATTATTATTATTATTATTATTATTATTATTATTATTATTTGTTTTCAGCTCACCACCGTTTACAACAAAAACAACAACGACGACAATAACAATGTCAACAACAACAACAATGTTAACCTGGACGACACCGCATCCACCATTACGTCACTGGCCTCCAACGCCGCGCCCACTTTTCACCTGGTGCGCAAGTCTTCCATCCACGCCCCCCGCATCGAAGCTCCGCCCGTTGACCAGCTCAAGGTGGACATCTATAGCGTGGGGGTCATCATGGAGAGTAAGGTGAGACGATGGGGGAACGTAGAATGAAAGTACCCAACTACTTACTAACTTACTTACTTACTTACTAACCGTTACGCCACCTGGCGTTTAGGGCAGCAACAAAAAAGGATCTCCAGCTCTGTTTGAGAGTACCCAAACAATGTAATAAATGAATGGAGATCTATGGTCGTTGATATCTGCTGTCATAGAGAGTGAAAGATCGTGTCAGTATGTTAGTGCTTTAGCGCCTATAAATGGCTGCTTGCACTAAGTATGCTTCCCAGCAAGTTGAGATTGTTTCAAAATGCTCTCAGGTCTGCTGGGGTAAAAGTATAGATTGTAAAGCGCTTAGAGTTTGTATTGAGCAGGGATTTACGCTATACAAATGTTATCTATTATTATTATTATTATTATTATTATTATTATTATTATTATTATTATTATTATTATTATTATTATTATTATAATCATCATTATTATCTAGCACTGACTTGGTGATGATGGCAAAATGTCTTTATTGGCGGAGAAGAGCGAGAAGGACATTGAGGAGAAGGAGAAGGAAGAGAAGGAGGGGTGGAGGAGGAGGGGGGAGGAGGAAGAGGTGAGGAGGAGGGGGAGGAGGGGAAGAGGAGGGGAGCAGAGAAGGGAGGTGGAGGAAGGAGGTGGATGAAGAGAAGGGAGTGGTGGAGGAGGAGGGAGAGATGGAGGAAGTGGAGGAGGAGGAAAGTAGGGCCTTGGGAAATATGTAGGGAACGCGGCGAATATCTCATAGAACTGAACAGAGATTGTATTTATTCCAAATAATAAAGACGACGGCATGATGACGATGAGTACATGTATATATCAACTGTGCGAAGTGCGAAAGTGTGGGGGCTCCATAGCCTCAAGTAATGTCAAGCAAGCGTCGGTGACACGGGGATCAGATGGGTGGTCACTGGGGTGTGTCCTTGAGCAAGACACCCCAACCTTAGCTCAAAATACAGGGCGCTGCACAGTGGCGACCGATAATGGCATTGTTTGTAAACTCTTCTGTATTTGTGTAATAGTGTGTATTTATTATGTATGTATTTATCCATGTATGTATTTATGTATGTACGTATTTATAATTATGTCTTCATGTATGTATATTTGCCATTGTCAAACAAAGTGCCCTTCTGGGACAAATAGACGTGTCATTTATTATTATTATTTATTATTATTATTATTATTATTATCATCATTATTATTATTATTATTATTATTATTATTATTATTATTATTATTATTATTATTATACATAAATGACCATTACAAACGGGATTGTTACTTTGTGTTTCCATAGATGACCGGAGCCTTTGACCCCGAAAAGCTTAAGGTCGAGGCCGTGGCCCCTAGCGGAAGGGTCATCAAGATTTCCGGAGATGGCCAGTATGCCGCTCAGTTCAACGCGGATGAAATTGGTGAGCTTCTGTCAGAATATCCGCCATAATTGTGAGGCAGCGTGGTGTAATCAGGCGCACGTCAAAATAAAGAAATCGGAGAAACAGGCATTTTTCTGTCGGTTGGGAAATGTTTATCAAATTTTTGTAGTTTTTTTTTTTTTTACTTAACCTCTTTGTCGTCCATAAAAAAACACATCTCCAGGTTAATTTTACTGAAAACATTGATTAACGGCATAAATTAATATGTCATTTTTCAATTTTCAAAGACTCTTTAGCTATTGGAGTTGCCAAACTTTGGCGGCCATTTTCTCGCTAATTTCACCACTGAAACCAGGCAACCTCGCATCCTTCAATCGCAAATATCGTGAGTTCTATTCAAGATAAATGGATATTTCTTTCATTGGAGACAAGGCAAGTAAATCAGCTGTCAGATGATACCAATACCTCTGTGTCAAGACGCGGTGGGATCAGGCGCTCGTCATTTTTGGGGCATGTGGAGTTATTGGTATCATCTTAAAGCTTGTCTATTTGCCATGCTTTTAAAGAAAACAATATCCATTTATCTTGGATAGAAGTCAAGATATTGGTGATTGAAGGAGATAGGGGCGCTTGGTTTCAGAGGTAAAATTAGCGGGGAAAATAATTTATGTATATATAATGTTTCGCGGGTTAGTTGGCGGGTGCTCTGGTGTGGCTGCTCCTATTGTATCAAACTTCTGGTGTCGTTCTCTCTCCTCCTCCTTTTCTGTGTATGTTACTCTCTAGTGATAAGTTTAATATTCGGCACTCATATTATGACCTATTTGTTTTTCAAATGCCACAAACGCTTGCTAATCTTATCAACCATCTTGTATAAGTATTCTTACGGCCTTAGACCATGCATCAGAATAACATTGAGTGTGTATCTAGCTTAAGATTATTATTGTTTATATTGCTGCTCATTTATATTATGCCTGTGATTGTAAGCCTGAGTGTGTGTGCATGTGTGTGTGTGTGTGTGTGTGTGTGTGTGTGTGTGTGTGTGTGTATACACGTGGTGAAACATCAAACCAATGTGCCAGGATCTGGACATTAAAGATGTATTTTATCTTATCTTATTTATCTTAAATCTGAAAAAAGTTATTTGTTTCGTTTCTTGTTTTCTTCAACTTTTTCGACTTGTAGGAAGATGGAAGGTGTCCATGTACTACGACGGAAGGTTCATGGACGGGTGTCCCATCGACGTGTGTGACCCCTCACAGGTCAAGGTCAAGGAGCTACAGGGTGGCCATGTTGGCAAGAACAATATCTTTTTCGGTAAGTTTGTGGAAAGACTTTTACACCAACAGTGCGGTTGTTTTTCCATGTTTTTGGCTTCTGTGCACAAAGTTTGTGCTTATGTTGGTGATTGTTGTTGTTGTTGTTTGTTGCTTGTTCTTATTGTTGTTTTTTTTGGGTGTTTTTTTTTTGGGG